AATGATTTCGCATTGTCTCTCAACTCAATTGCTCATCTATCTTTTTCAGGGACAAGGTTGGGTTTTGGCACCTCAGTGGAGGATATACTAATCCCTGTGATACTGGCTCAGTTGGCAAATCAGAGTAAAGAACTCTAAACAAGCCTTAATTAACATGCAGGAGTTCAGAGAAAAGAAATAACCACATTTTTGAATTAAAAAGGTAATGCTTATGACTGATTTTTGAGAAACCTGGATACACAGAAGAATTAATTTTGTTTCCCTATGAACCAGATACAGAGTTCTAAAAATTTTTGCTTCTTTTATATAAAACAAGTAAAATGAACTACCCTCAGTAATAGACTAAATTGTTTAATTTCCCCTGTGAATACAATATTCATTTTATACATCTCTGTTTTACTTCAATGAAGTCATTAACCTGTTTATTTTAAGTAGGTTAATGAATGCATTCAAACAGTATACAGAAGAATTTTGCACTCAAGAAATGAACCGGTGTGATTCTAATGGGAATTTTACAAAACACTGATAGATCAATACAGTGTAACCAATACTTTGGGTAAACTGGCCCTTATTTCTAAATCAAAATGCTCACCATCAATAATATTTGATGGGAACTGTGAAGGGTCAGATTAATAAATAAAAAAGCAATGGATCCTGATTAAATAACTGAAATCATTGAGAAATCAGTTATTTTAGTGCAACAGCACCAGACAAAAAAATGAAGTAGGACGTTACTAGAGAAGCCAGGACTGTTCTCCTTAAGGCAGGCAGAGAAGGTGATGGGAGATTTTATAGAAATTAATAACTACAAATGGAAAGACTGTTTCCTTTTGCAGGAGGGCCAAAAGGTAGATTTAACATAAGTGGCAAAAGGACCAGAGGGAAGAGAAGGGGGGTTTTTTGACGCATCAATTAGTTATGATCTGGAAGGCACTGCCTGAAAAGGTGGTGACAGCAGATTTAATAATAGGTTTCTCAAGGAAATTGGGCATACACCTGAAAACGAAAACATTTTCAGGGCTATAAGGAAAGAAATGAGGAGTAAGACTAATGAGACAGCCCTTCCAAAGACTTAACACAGGCACGATGGCTTCTTTCTATGTGGTAGATTCTGTGGCTTACAGGTATTTTACTGACAGGATTACTGTAAACAAGTGACCAATGCCTGTTTATACTGCTCTCTTGGCAGATGTAAGATGGCATTCAGCATGGGCTCAATTGAGAGTACTTTTCCCTTTACGTCAGAAGGTTGTGGGTGGAGGTCTCACTTTAGAGACTTAAACACAAAACTGAGGCTAGTGCAATCCTGTGGGAATGTCGCACTGTTGGAGGTACCATCTTTTAGGTGGATGCAAAAGATTTCATACTACGGTACAATTTAGAAGAGCAGCAAGTGAGTTCTCCTTTGTGTCCTGGTCAATATTTATCCCTCTATCAAAAAAAAGTAAATCAGTTAAAAAAAAATCATCTGGTCTTTATCATACTTGTGTTTGTAGAACTTGTGTATGAGAATTGGCTGCTGTGTGTCCAACATTACAACTAAGCCTACGCTTCAAAAGTATTCAATTGGCTTTAAAGGCTTTGGGACATCCTGAGGTTGCGAAAGGTGCTAGATAAGTTCAAGATCTTTCTCTCACCCTGGATTCAGCCGAAAGGTAGTCTGTGATTGAGACAGTGACGGTATTGTCCAAATGTTGCAGACTGCCAGCTGTAAGATGGGGTGTATTGGAAATTGGCAATGCTCTGGCGCGCACGTGATAGTATAAACAGATCATTGGTGCAGCATAACAGAGTGATCCTGTTTATTGTACAGCTATTCGTAAAATGCAATCAGTATTTCTCACTAACATTTCAGAGCATTTGACCTAATTTCCCCTCAAGTGTTCTTACATTTCTATAACTCCTGTTTGATTTCTGACAACTGTGAGTGGTTTTTCGATGTGCATTGAAACACGTGAGTCTATCCACTGGCTGTCAGTTTACAAACAGTCTAGCTTTTTGATTAGGGACAGCTCTAAGCCATGTGGGAAAACCAGGGCAAAATAAGGAAAACCCCTCTATACAAATGGACCAAAGATAGCGAATATTTTACGAATGGTGTATGCTACTCTGAATGCATCTTAATCAACATTGGGGTCACCATATTAGATTCTTGTGCTGCAGTGGTTGAGTCCCTACCTCTAGTACAGGAGGCCCAGGTTCAAATCCCACCTGCCCCTGGAGGTATATACAGGTTGACCACCAACAAGAATATTTCACCCCAGTCCTCTGATGTGGCCCAAAACATCTGTTTGAGAAACAACCTTGAGTCAATGTCTATGCTTTAATTTGATGCGTGCTCAAGAGCAGTCACATTCCCAGCACCTCTGCTCTCTGGTAGAGGCAACCCCTCCATTGTTTGCACTTTCAAGCAGAAGATAAAAAGGTTTTCTTGGCACCATCCCAGTGCTAGAAGGAGATCATCTAGAAACTCAGGCTGTTCACAACAGCAACAATAAACCATATTTATATAGTGCCTTTAACATGTATAAATGTCAGAAGGCACTTCACAGAGACATTACCAAACTTAAAATGAAAAGAATCCCAACAGAAGAAATATTAAGCAATGTCTGGCCAAAAGGCTAGAGGCAGTCATAGAGATAGGGGACAGGTAAAATCATGGAGGAATTTAAACACAAGGGTTTTGATTTGAAAGATGGAGTACCAGCATCCATGAGAATAAGGTGATGGGCAATCAGGAATTAGCCCAGGATAGGATATGTGCAGCAGGGTTTTGGACAAGCTGCAGTTGATGCGAGAATATTGGAGCAATTAAGCTTCGAGGAAATACAGACATGGCCAAAGTTTTAGCAGCTGATGGCTGAGAGAGGAACAAGGTCAGGTGATATTACACTGGTGTCAATTAGTGTTCTTGTGATGGAAAGGGATTGATTAGATCTATGGATGGTACTAAGTATTTGTTCTTGATTACAATAATTCTCCTTTAACTTGTTTAAGCTGGAATGCTGCCCTTTAAAAAGAGAATCAAAACATTTTAAATAAACACCACAATAACACCAGTGAAACTTTGTGAAGTGTCCTCCACTTGTCAATGTTTACCAGCAAGGACATTCAAGATAGTGTGTCTACAACCAATTCCTTAATCCCAGTGAAGCTCTGTATTGAGACAGAAGTTTACTCCTTACTTACTCATGATGAGCTTAAGATTTACCCCAAAACATCCCCGGTTCACAGACAAAGGGTGTTTGCAAGACCTCAAAACTCTTAAAGTTTTTACAGAGCGCAATATATAACCAGTTACCCTCCCACTACAACCCAATGTAACAGTCAGTCAGAGCAGATGACAGCCCCCTTTTAAATTAGGAGGTGTTTAAGTTCCTTTAGGAAATAATTGTATTTAACACTATGCATCTGAATGAGCAAGACTCTGGAATTGAATACTGCTTGCTTAAAAGGCAGTGCCTGTCTACATTTATAAACTCTCTCATTTTTCACATGGAAATTTAATCAGACCGTTTTCACTGCGCTGCAGATATTTTTAGACGCGCTGTTCTAAAGTTAGACAGAATTTGTAAAATATTGTAAGTTGAAAGTCCTGCCTTCTGTAGATGATTGGAAAAGAAAGCAAGGCTCCCCCTTATGGAGTGGTGTGTCAAGGCACTGCCCAACACTGAGCTGAACACACAGGCAGGTCCTTAGTTGAATCCCTGATCTGTGCTGCACTGGCAAGGCCCATGGCTGTACAGATAGGATGAATGGCTGCAGTGTCACTGAAATAATAGTGAAGAATAAAAAACATCCACCAGCTTCTACAGAGGTGGAGATGCAGGGCCTCAATTGTGATGCCCACCATAGCCAGCTAACCTGCTGACAATTGTGTTGTTATGGAGACAGGTCACAGAGGTAAGGTACTGGAAAACTTCCCCAGAAATTCTCACGAAAGGGGAGAAGATATGAATTAGTAAGGTATAGAAAAGCTCTTGATTTAAGTGTCTCTTGCCTTCAAAAACTCTAGGCTAAAAATTCACCGTGGCTAGGAAGGCCAAAGCTGGCTTGAAATTGGACCTCTGGCCTCACTTGAACTGCCTTTGGAGGAGTGACTGGCTCAGCGGTGGCCAAATCCAATTTAGGCTACATGTGGCTTTAAGGTCACCTGGAGAGTGAAGGTGAGGGGCAGTAGAGAAAGGAGATAAACAGGAAGGAAGGGAGAGTAGGGTGGAGGTGTTGAGATTTTGAGAGGGCAGTGACCCAAGGGTGTGGTCTGGGGCTGGCAAGAGCACAGCCGCCCCACTCAAAAATTGGTAACACTTTTTGGCAGCAGTTACTGGCAAGGCTGCAGCAATCCCATCAAACCTGGAGTGGTACAAGCCTGCTCCCTGTGCTGTCTAATTTTGTTGAGTGTTTATTAAATGGGCTTTAGACCTCTCAGTTGAGTAGGTGGGGGGGCTCTTGCCTTCTCTAAGTGACTGCTTAGAATGCCTACATTATCTAAGGTCAGTATTTTAGGTACCCTTCAGGGCACAGGGTTTAGCATTATCCTGGAAATTGAGTGCCATAAGGTCCATTTTCTACCCTGTCTTTGTCCATTCTGAGAAAAAAACGTGTTATAATTGTGTAAATCAGTAGTTAAGGGTAAATGTCCCCAAATCTGATAGCTGCATGAAATAGTTAAGACAATGCAACAGATTATCAACTGTGCCAATTTCTGGTAAAGACAGCCTGTTACCTAGTTCACAGGTTAATAAAGAATGTTCTAGAAGAAAACACGATTTTTACTTGTACTTTTCACAGAAAAATTAACTATTAAGGTGTAACCGTGTCTGGCAAATATACACCGCTAATAAGAATTCAAGTTTTTTTGGGGAGAAGTATGACTATAAAACTCCGTGGTTAGTGAAAAATTATGGTGCAGCTATGAATGCTAGTCCAGTCTACAGTTTGACGGAATGTCTGTGTGTGCATTTGTATCTGTGTATTTGTTGTGTACATATGTCAAGATCTGTTGTGTGTGCTGTACTTGTTTGTGTTTTTGTGTGTGTATCTGTGTGTGTTTGTGTCTGAATGCTATTGTGTCTGTGTGTATCTCTGAATCTGTGTTTAATACTGGCCTTTGAATTGGCAATTCAGTGCTGAAAGACCTACAGCAGATCCCAGAGTATCTGGTTTTGATTTTTACGCCTTTATATCATGACCCAGAGATCTCTGTAATGTTCTCAAGCAATTTTGTTTGCTGCATTCTTTTCCTTTTTGATCACTATGTGCACTATTCCTTACTGATTGCAATCGGATCACTTGGAAGTCCTCATTTCCAACATGGCCGGACGGTAAAGATACCTCCAGATGGCATAGTAATGGACGCCTGCTCCGATAGCCACAAAAAGGTGCCAGATTGCATGTGCAAATGGAATCCGACCATCGCTCTTGAAGAACAACATTCCGAGGCAGTAGAAGAAACCACCCACCAGCAATTCAAACAGTCCAGCGGTGTTTGGCTGAGTCAAGAGAGTAAGAAAAACACATTCATTTCGATAAAGCACTTGGTTGTATAACACTTCACCAATACTGCAATTGAATGGTCTGCATCCCACTAACATCCTGAACAATTTAAAGACAATTTCATGTTAACGGGAATTTTTCATCTTAGCGGTAACATGGGGAACCATGGCAATCAATTTACCACAAAACAGGGTCTCACAAAAAGCAGTGTACCGCTGACTAGATCATCTCAGAATCATAGAAGCATTACAGCACAGAATGAGGCCATTCAGTCCATCGTGCCTGCATCAGCTCGTTAAATGAGCATCATTTCCTTGTGCCAATTTCCCGCTTTTTCTCCCCTCACCCCTGCACATTATTTTTGATCCAAATAATCATCCAATGTCCTCCTGAATGCCTCAATTGAACCTGTCTCCAGCATACTTCCAGGCAGTGAATTCCAGACTGTCATTACTTGCTGACTGAAAAAGCTTTTCCTCATTTTGCCCTTTTGCAGATCACTTTAAATCTGTAGCCCTCTTGTTCCTTCTACAAGCAGGAACATTTTCTTGCTATCTACTCTATCCAGCCTGCTCATGGTTTCAAAAACCTTCATCAAATCTCCTCTTAACCTTTCTTTTCTCCAAGGTCAACAGTCTCAATCTACTGTCATAACTGAAGTTCCTCACCCTGGAACCATTCTTGTAAACCGCTCTGTCCAATTCATTCATATCCTTCCTCTAACGTGGCACCCAGACGTGTACATAAGACTCCAGCTGAGATCTAACAAGCGTTTTGTATCTCAATTTAGAAAAGACTGCTGCCATCTGAGCCATAGCTGACGTGAAAGAAAAAGACTAAGAAACGTTGTTTCTCAATTGCTTGTATTTGTGACTTCTGCAGCAGCACAGTACAATGGTGATGTCTCTCTCTACTAGCTGGAGGACAGAACTGGCTCTGTAGAGAACACTCTCACCTCATAAGTCAGAAGATTGCAGGACCTAGGGACCCAGAGATTTGAACACAATTGAGACGAGGAGTTTGAAACCAGTGGGTCCAGATGCACGTGTGTCTCTTTAACATCTCTGAAACTCCCAGTCTTTTCTTTCTAGATTGTACCAACGTGACAAAAGCCTAAACTAAAATGCAGCAAGAAAAGTACGAGCTATATAATTACTCTGAGGATAAAGGTCTAATAATTGGGCTACACCTTATAGTTTCAAATGATTGTTTTGACAAAAAAAACCACTGTGCTCTAAATAAACCAGTTTGAGTGGTTTAGCTACACTGTGGTCTTGAATAATGGAGTCATACAATCATAGTTTTGGTTTGTTGTACAGGTTTCTGCAGTTAAATCCATTGTTGTTTTTTATTGTGGCTGAGATAACTATTCTGAATGTGGTTTGACAAAGTATATTTTTAATTGCTGATGTCATTTATTGAAGGAAATCTGACATTCTTACCTTGTCTGGCCTACATGTGACTACAGATCCACAGCAATGTGGTTGACTCTTAACTGCCTTCTGGCAGGCAATAAATGCTGGCCTAGCCAGTGACATTAGTGTCCCGTGAATTATTACAAAAACTTGATATCACAAGAATCAACAACAATTGTATTTCTGTACATCTTAAAGTTTGTTTTAAAGATGATTTTATTGATGAAGTTACAACAAAAATGGTTTTAAAAAGTAATAATTCAACTTTAAATTGATTTTAATTTTATTTATGGTGAATTGTAAATTTAATACGTGAATTTTTACATATACAACACGCATTTTACTAGAGATACGTAGTAATTTGCTAATGTAATTAGTTTCAAAGTATTGAATTTTTGTATTGTGGCTGTCAATAGATTTTATTTTAAGATTTTGTTTTTAAAAAAGGCTCTTCATATAAAAGGGATTGCCAGCCCTCAGTCTAGATTGACATTCTGGGTGAGGGAGTTCTATGCTATTGGAGGTCCCACCTTTGGATAAAATACTAAACCTCAGCCCTGTCTGCCTCTCTGATTGACCAAGAAGATCCCATCCCATTCTTTGAGGAAGTTATTTCTTGTTGGTGTCCTGGTCAATATCACTTCTCCAACCAATCTCACTAAAACAAATGATCTGGTCATTATCGCAATACTGTTTGTGAGGAATACTGTTTTCTGAAGAAGGGTCTAGGCCTGAAACGTCAGCTTTCCTGCTCTTCTGATGCTGCTTGGCCTGCTGTATTCATCCAGCTCTACACCTTGTTATCACTGTTTGTGAGGTTTTGCTCTGCATAAATCAGCTACCTATTTACCTGCCTTACAATAGTGAACACACTTCAAAAGCACTTCATTGGCAGTGTGAAAGACATTATGTAAACACAAGTCTTACTCTGAGATTCACAGTGCTCGTTCTCCAGTCAAGACATTTCGTAGAAGTGGATTTTCTTTTGCTCATTGAATCCCAAATACTCATACCGTATGTCAAAATTAAACTATGCTTTCTGCTGTACTTTTCTGGTCATACTTACAAGACACAAAATAAACAGTGGTGAGGTTCTGGCAGTACCTTCACTCCAGAGAAACTCCCACTATTTTCTGAAGAGCATGTTCCAACATCATCCTAGATTCCTTAACTGGTCATTCACTAAATTGCTGGTTCTGGAAGCTTGCTTTGTACAAAAATGGCTGCCACATTTCCCGTATTATAACATACACTTAAAAAAATCATTTATTGACTGTGAAAATCTTGAGGATGCTGTGAGCTTCTGAAAGATACAACAAAAATCCACGCGCATCCTGACTCTATTGGCAGAGTGTTTCAGTTCATTACAAGTTAGAGAAGCTTGTACTTATAATTTGTACTTATATAACACATAGACACTCTCAGACACACTCAGTCACACACACACGCATACATGTGCGCACACACACACTTGCAGACACAGAAACACATACACTGACACAGACATGTGTGCACTTCTGGAATCCAATTATAGAAGGGATGTGACAATAGTGGAGAGGATGCAGAAGAGATTTACCAGGATGTTAACTGAAGTTGCTGGAAAAACTCAGCAGGTCTGGCAGCACCTGTGAAGAAAAATCAGAGTTAATGTTTCGGGTATGGTGACTCTTCCTCAGCATCCGCAGTTCTTTCAAATTTTATTTACCAGGATGTTGCCTAGGCTTGAGAGTTCCATTAATAAAGCAACTGGACAGAGAGGGTTGATTTCCTTAGAGCAGCGGAGATTGAGGGGGGACATGTTTGAGATAAGATAATGATGGGCATAGATAGGGAACATAGAAACAAATATTTCCCGTTGATGGAGGGAGCAATGACCACGGGCATAGATTTAATGTTATGGCAGGAGTTTAAAGGAAATGTGAGGAATAACTTTTTCACCCAGATCTGGTGGGGATCTGGAACTCTGCCTGTAATGGTGGTCGAGGCAGAAACTCTTGTAGCATATAAGAATCAATTAGATGAACACTTGCAATGTCAAGGCATTCAAAGCCACGGGCCAAGTGCTGGGAAATGTAATTAGGATTGTTAAGCAGTTGTTTTTGACAGGTGCAGATATCTTGAGCTAAAGGGTGGGAAATCAGTGAGAGATCCAGTTGTCCCTTCCAGCAAAGATACATTGAACCACATGCCAATCAGGCATTGGACAGGCCACCAGTGGGCCTTCACCTCCAATCAAGACCCCAGGAGTCCTGTCCAGGGAGGGTTGCCAGCCAATGAGAGTCTAACAGTGCCATGGAGGAGGCTGCAGCTACTGCCAGAAGACCTGAGTACATTGAGCATGGGCTTCCCTCTCAGAACTGAATTCTGGTAGAGGTAGGAGAGTGGCAGGGTTTGGGTATGCCACTATTGCACCTAATTAATATTGCCCCTCCCTGCTCCCAGCCCATCATCTCCAGGAGCAGAATATTATGCCCACAGACAGTCACACAAACACACATAGGCATATACATATATAGACACACATACACTCAGATACAAACGCACACATACAGACAGACATACACAGACACACAAAGACACACAATTACATGTACACGCAGACACACACACTCAGACCGACATAGACAGACACACAAACAAACACACAGGCGCACACAGGCACTCATACATAGACACCCAGACACACACACACGTACATACACAGACACACATATGGACACTCAGATACAGATACAGACATCCAGACACAAGCAACATATACAGACACACATGCACACACGTACACAGACACACACACATGCACAAACATTCATACACACAGATATTCATAAATTGACACTCAGACATACAAACACAAGTACAGACACTCAGTCACACACTCACATATGCAGACACATACACATACAGACATTCAGATAGACATACACAGACTCACACAGCCACACACAGGCATACACACACAAACAATACCCTCACACAGAGACAAACATACAGACACAGACAGGTGCACTTGCACAGACGCACACATGCACACACAGACACTCAAATACAAACACTCATATACAGAAACACACACTCAGCTACACACATTCAGATACTTTCACAGGTATACATACACAAATATATACTCAGACACATACTCTCAGAAACACTGTCAGACATTGAGGACATCCTCCATCATGTATGAAGTACTAACACCATGCCAATTATGATAGATTTCAAAAACATTCGGCAATTCAAACTTGGACACCCATGAAACCGTGTATCCATGAAACCCTGTGGGCCATCAGCACCAGAGGAACAGTATTCAACCAAAATCTGTAACCTTGTGACCTATAGTCTGTACCCCGGGACGCACACCGAGATAAACATTAACTGCGCTTGGAGAACCATCAATTCAGTGAAAGATGCTCTTTGGTCTATCCAAAACTTATTGGTCTTTCAGAACAAGGAGTTGACCCCGACCAAGTGGTGAAAACTGGCACATTCCAAGGTCCAGGACTAAGTACTGAGGGATGCACTAAAGCTTGGAGCAGCTGCTGCCAAGGCGCAGTGGGGAAAGACCACTGTTTGAGGTCTTCCTGATGAAAGTAAATGGGTTCTGTTCAGTTATTGGACCCTCATTATAATGTAAATATTGGTATTTGATGTATAAGAGAGGTTTTTGGTTTTTTTGGATAGAGTCAAAGTCCAATGTTTTGTTTGTTTACTTGATATGTAACAGCATAGAACCAAACTGCATTTGTGACAATGTATATATACAAAGACGTTTTTATGAATAAGCTATATTTTTGGAACAAAAAAAATCCATCTTAAAGACCACTGTCTGAGACCTTCCTGGTGAAGGTAAATGGGGGTCTGTTCAGGTATTGGACCCTCTTAGTGTCTCAAATGTATGTAAATATAGTCTTGTATGTGTAAGAGAGATCTTTGGTTTTTTGGATGGAGTCAAACTTCAAATGTATGTTTGTTTCCTTGATATGCTACTGTACAGAAGCAAACTGCATTTGTGACTATGCATATATATAAAAATATTTTTATGAATAAAGTATATTTTTAAAATTAAAAAAAGGATGATTCATCTTGGCCTCCCCTGAGGACCTGAGCATCACAGATACCAGTCTTCAGCCAATTTGATTCATTCCACATGATATCAAGAAACAGATAAGGGCTCCAGATACTGCAAAGGCTACGTGCCTTGACAACTATACAGTTGTGCCCTAGAGGTAGCTGTGCCCCTAGCTGAGCTGTTCTAGTACCTATACAACACTGACATCTACCCGACAATGTAAAAAAATTGCCCAGGTATGTCCTATCTACAAAAAGCAAGACATATCCATTCTAGCCAATTATCGCCCGACTGCCTCATCGGTCTACACTCTATTCGCAATGAAGTGATGGAAGGGGTCATCGATAGTACTACTGAGTGGCATTTGCTCAGCAACAACTTGCTCAATTTTACATGTGGTACTTAGGGCTAAATGGATTACAGGTTATGAGGAGAAAGTAGAAACATGATACTGGGTTGATGATCAACCATGATCATACTGAAAGGCCTTCTTCTACTCCTGTGTTCTGTGCTTCTATATATAAGTGACGAATAACATTTGCACCACATAAATGACAGGCAATGACTATCCCTAACGAAGAGAATCCTACCATTTCCCCCGATACTTAATGGCATTACCACTGCTGAATCCTTCACTTTCACCATGCTGGGGATTAGCATCAACCAGAAACTAAACTGGACTAGCCAATTCCTAAGCACTATGGTTATAAGAGGCTAAGAATTCTGTGATGAGTGTTTCACCTCTTAACTCCATAAAGCCTGTCCACTCACTGTCTACAAGGTACACGTGAGAAGTCCGATGGAATACTTTCACTTTCCTGGATGGATGCACCTTTGACAGCACTCAAGATGTTCAACACCATCCAGGACAAAAAGCCCATATGACTGGCATCCCATCCACCACCTTCAATATCCACTCCCTCCAATATTAGCGCATAGTGGTAGCAGTGTGTACCAACCACAAGATGCGCTGCAGTAACTCAACAAAGCTCTTTCAACTGCACCTTCCAAATCCACAGAACACCTGTAAGTTCCCTGCCAAGCCACACACACGATCTTAGCTTGGAAATATATTGCCTTTCCTTCGCAATTGCTGGGTTAATATCCTGGAACTCGCTCTCTAACAGCACTGTGGGTGTACTTTGATAAATACACTGCAATGTTTCAAGAAGGTAGCTCACCACATTTCTCAAGGATAATTAGAAGTGGTTAATAAATACTACCCTAGCCAGTAATACCCATATCCCTAGAATGAAAAACACACACAATGCATATATATTAGAATTGTATTGGAAGAAAAACAACCATACCATTGATAGAATGACGAGTGCAGGAAAGATGCCCATGATCATATAGCAGATCAATTCCACAATTTTATACCTACAACAGGAAACATCAGAATGGCATCAGGAGTGACAGAGAAAGAGAAAAGAGTATAATCTTGAGAATGAGATTGTTACTATGATTATGTCCATCATGGATGAAATTAAGTACAAATTAAATCTTCCACACAAGGACAAACTGATAATTATATATCAATTGGGGGTTAATGTATTCGGATGCTGGGTATTAATTGTTCTAGCATAAAAGAGGAGCTATAAAGGCCTGTGTGGCACTGTGGTAGTGTCCTTACCCCTGAACCAGGAGGCCTTGGTTCAAGTCACAGCTGCTCCAGAGATGTGCAATAACATCACCGAACAGGTTGATTAGAAAAAATATCTAATAGATGGACTGGCAAGGCTTTGATAAATTAAAAGAGCATGATGTTAACCAGAACTTGTCAAACATGGCAATCAAACTGTTAAGGGCTAACACTTGGAGTTAGATATAAAAAACACCAGACTCTGAACACTTTATGAATTAAACAAGGCATTTGTACCTCATATGGCCATGTGTTTTGTGATAATCCTCATGAGGAACAGAATGCAGCTGATTAAGAATGAAGCTGGATGGTGATCATGACACACAGAACAGATGATCAGAGTGAGTTGTTGAGTGGATAATATTTCAGAGCAGATTAAAGACTGGAGAATGGGACAATTTTGCAGATATACCACTGTTAAAATTAATTTTTTGTTACATGGTGAGGGTGACGGCCAAGTTGTGAGATCCATGGACCAAGAGAATAAGGTGAAAGTGTGGAAAGCAATAAAGCTCTATGCAAGTAGTAATAGAGGAAGAGACATGCATTTCAAAATGATCATAAATTCATGAAGGGCCCCCGATAATGTAAGGCAGAGATCTCCCAGTAACCCCTGCTCATGACAGTGGATAATGTGATGTGTCAGTGTTGGACTAGTTTGGACAAGGTCAAATATCAGGCTATAGTCCAACAGGTTTATTTGAAAACACTAGCTTTTCAAGCGTTGCTCCTTCCTCAGGTGTAGTGAGAGAGGAGATATCAAGGCACAGAATTTATAAGAAAAAGATCAAAGGATTATACAACTGATGCAAATGTATAGAATAAGCCTAAACTGGCTGGCTGACTCCCTCCTGTTAAATCTTTAATCAGTTAGAAAGGAGATGCAGGTTACGACTGATTAAACTTCATGTCCCAGGATTTCTTTTAAGTCACTGCCCTGAGATAACTTCAGGTTTTATCAATATATACAAGAGGTGACATCTCAGTCAGACAATGCATTTTAGGTATGAAGCCTTGTTTAGAATCTGTCTGTGTTTTAACCTGGAATCAGGCTGGTTTTATTTCAAAATCAGGGATAACAGTGGAAGTAGAGCCGTCTCCTGTAAAGATAGCCAACATTCATCTAACAGAACTAGGAATAGATCATGAAGCTTTAGTGGCTGCCACTAAATCTGAGGATAACCGAGTAAGAGGCAGAAGACAAAGGGAATTGGAGAGAATTTGGGATTTATTCTGAGGTACCAATTGGGGTTAACCAGTTTTGTCTCAGATCAATCCATACTTTGTATTTAGGGCTTAAGAGCTGGTGGTTCTGAAGAAAAACTGGTTGATGAAGGTGTTAGTGGAAGCTCCCCCAACAGGCAAAACAGTTTTCAGATACTCATAGTTCTTTTGGTCACATGTTCATGTGATTGTAAATCAGTCAACATTAAATCAACATTTCTGCAGTGTCATGCTTTTCAGAGAGAAGTATTTCTGAATCTGCCCAAAGTGACAGCAGTTATGGGAGGATGACTGTGCAAAGTAAAATGCATTAATAGCCTGAATGGTACATCCAGAATGGAGTCAGTTTTGGTGAAATCTGTTTTGCTGAAAGTAGGTTATGTTCAACTAAAGGCAAATCCCACAGTGTTTATCAGCTTCCTTTACGGTACCAACTTCAAGGATCTTTAGGATTCATGTGACACTTTCTCACGAGATGGTGTTACAGAATTCAAGGAAAAACATCATCAATTAGGGTAGAATTTAAAATTGGGCTTTTTAAAGACATTAAGCAAAGTTGGTCTTGTGTAATTTTACATCAGCAATCCCGTTCAGAGAGGGTTACTCCCTCACAGTCACTCCTATTCAAAGAGTGTTACTCGCATCGCAGTCAATCGTATGAGGTTATTACAGAAAAATGATATTATACCTAAAAAGAGAAAAAATGTGAAGTTTGATTGGTCAGTTGAACTAGTTGGCCACTCAAGACTAGACCCAACACTGGTTTTGAGGGCGTTGCAATTAAGTAGATCAATGAAACACCTGAAGTGCTGGGATGCTTTAAGGCAAATAAAACATGATTGAAATTATATTTGGAGAGATGTATTCTTAAGTTCTCATCTTTCCATGAACCAAAGAACATAAGAACATAATAGCTAAGAGCAGAAAAACCCAATTCAGCCCTCGAGCCTGCTCCACTATTCAATACAATCACGGCTGATCTTATCTTGGCCTCAACTTTTCCTGTGCACTCTCCACAACCCTTCAAGCCATTGCTAATTAAAAATCTATCTCCTCCTTAATTTACTTAGCAATTTCCCAGCATCCATCACACTCTGGAGTAGTGAATTCCACAGATTCATGACCCTTTGAGAGAACTAATTTCTCCTAATCTCTGTTTAAATCTGCTAATCCTTACCCTAAAATTAATACTTCTCATTCTAGATGGCCCCACATCAGGAAACTATGTATGTCTACTTTGTCAATCTCCTTTAGCATCTTATAGACATTAATTAGATTCCCTTATAACACAGTGTGGAGCTGGAGGAACACACCAGGCCAGGCAGCATCAGAGGAGCAGGAAAGCTGACGTTTAAGGTTGGGACCCCTCTTCAGCGTCGGCAGTTCTTACTATCTCTGAATTAGATCCCCTTTCATTCTTTTAAACTCCAAAGAACATGAAACTGTGATACAAGATTGGGTATGATAATGTGATGACAATATTTAGCATGTGATAATATTGGTAACAGAGTGACTCATAGACAAGGGAGAAACCACTTAGGTCATATACAACCAGATGGGACAGAAAGGACCCAAAATAGTACCCTCTTTTAAGAAACAAGGACAGAAATTGCTGGAAAAAATTCATCAGATCCGACAGCATCTGTGGAGAATAAGCAGAGTTAATGTTTCAGGTCCAGTGAACCTTCTTCAGAATAGATTAAACAGATCATCAGAACCTCTTTTAAGTGCAGAATAAAACCCAGGTCCCAAACCTCAGGGCAGCCAAAACTGTGGGATCAGATCAAACAGGTGGCAGCAAAGGAGACTCCAATTTAATCATAAATTGGAGTGACACATCAAAATCATTGAGGGAAAAGCAATAGAAGACTTAAAAAGATCAGCCTACATCAGAGAATGTACTGAAGCAGGTTGTGATGACAGCACCAGTTGAGCAGCTACAGCCTGATAGACTTTATTCAAATCAGAAGGGCCAAAGAGAGACTGCTGTTGCGAGATTTGGAAGAAACAATTCTAAGGACATCAAACAGTGTTGGGTTTGCATGCCAAAAAGTAGAAACACCAGGTTAGTATATTCGTTGGGCCTCTCACTGATGACATTCTTATGAGACGGGGTGGTGGGGGGAGGGAGGGTTGTTAGAAGAGACCGCTGCAGATTTTCAAACCATCATCAATAAATACTTCAGCCCAAAATCTTGTGACCAAGTGAGAGCAATTTACTCAGGCACCCCAGAGTCGTCAGATGGAGCAGTCTCATTGGGTAGGCCATAAGGAACACCGCAGGTGCTGGGAATGCCGAGTAGGGGAGCAGACTGTTTCTAAATGCAGGAAGCTTGGACATTTCAAGCTGGTTTGCAAATTTAAAATGTAGCAACAGGGGAAAAAAAAAAGCAAGAGAAAATTCCTGTACAGCAGGGCATTTCTGGAAGCAGGAAACTCCTGAAAGAAATAAATTCCACAACATATGAGGCATAGTGGCTCAGTGGTTAGCACTGCTACCTCACAGCGCCAGGGACCTGGGTTTGATTCCACCCTCAGGCGACTGTCTGTGTGGAGTTTGCACATTCTCCCCGTGTCTGTGAGGATTTCCTCCCACAGTCCAAAGGTGGGCGGGTTAGGTGGATTAGGCATGGGAATTGCAGGGTGATAGGGTAGGAGGATGGGTCTGGGCGGGATGCTTTCAGAAGGTCAGTGTGGACTTGAAGGGCTGAATGGCCTGTTTCCTTACTGTATTGATTCTGTGATAAAGGAACAACATAAAATATACTTTCTTAGGTGGAGTCAAGGAAGGCAGTGAAACTTTGTTCAGTTACAAAGGCCTCAAGGCATGTGTTAGAATCCTGGCAGACCATTTGCAATGCAGTCAAAGATAGCCAGCATCAAGAATTAAATTGCACAGTTAGGGATCACAGAGCTTCAGGTCAGCAAACTATCATACTTAGCCACAAAGGGCAAGAGATTAACAAGACTTTGTATGTCTTAAAAAATCGAAGAAGTCTTTATTGAACAGAAATAGGTACAATTAGACCTTCTGGAAAAAGAAGACTAAGTCCTATAGCAAGATAATGGGACAGAAGTTGTTCAGATCTTCCAAGGCCCAGGTAAGCTTTGAATATCATGTCATTTCAGGATGTCACGTCATTCTCCCAGGAGGGTGCCATACCCACCGCTGGAGAATGTTAAAAAGCAGCTTAATAGTACATGGTTTCTAATTAATCTGTTCAGGTATGTTGTAGTACACCCTCTGGAACAGGTGGGACTTGACCTCAGGCTGCATGACCTAGATGTAGGGGCAGTACCACGAGAGCCCTCAGTTTGGCAATGAGCAACACATGGGAGCAGTATCACCTCTCAGAGCCAACAAGGTGGTGTTCAGGAATTGTAATAGTTCCCAAGCCAAATTGGAAGCTCAATCTATGTGCTGACCTCATTCTGCAAAGCAGTCCAGTGAAAATACCACCCAAAGTCTTCAGTAGATGACAGTCTGGCAAACCTTGCCAATAGCATGCTTTTC